TCCCAGAATTTTGTCTGCTCTAGAGGAGGAAGGAGGGAGGCCTGATGCTATTCATGAAAAGGCTCTTGCTATCTAGGGTTATTACTGTTATCACAAAAACCAAAGACATCTCCAAAATTCCCAATAGAATTTTCTTTCATCTCTTTGACCAAAGAGAACAAGGGCTTAGGTCTTTGCTCAGTAGCAAAGTGTCTGGGAAAGAGCTGATGCAGATTGCCAACATTTCTATCTGAAGAGGAGCATCAGGGGAGAGATATGGAAATGGGAATGGACTCAAGAAACTGGCTGTGTCCAATGTCCTGCTCAATGCCACATAGTCACTTAGCAGGTCCAGCCAGGCCTGGAGGCCAGTCTCAGGGCTTCCAACCCTTATCTGTTATGTTTGGATGTCAGATATATTCTGCAGTGTCCAGAGCAAAACAAAAGTAAGGACTATGCTGGAGAAACTGCTTAAAAGAAAAAACCCTGCACATACCCAACTAATCAAATGCTGACAGACTGGGTTAGCAAAGCCCAGGGCTTGATGGGTGCCACAGCATGTAGGTTTTCTGCTTGTAGCTCAGCCCCATGACGGCTGCAAGCTTTGGAAGTTCCCTAGGATTCCGTGCTTCTGAAATGTGATGAACGATGTAGTGTTGTTCACTACAAGCCTGGAAAGTGCTTTGGTAAGGGAAAGCCTCTGGTGGAGGACATGGAGTTGCTATTAACCCGCAGCATGCCATCAAGCGCGGACTCTTCCACAAGATGGTGTATTTCAAATGGGCAGGAAGACAGGGCTATCTCCTCATTCCATTGGGCCTGGAGCGGAGTGGAACAAGAACTCCAGGAAACACTTAAGATAAGGAATAAAAAAAAAAGAAAAAAGGTAAGGAATATAAATAAATGCCCCTTTATAATTACTCTGGCCACTTGTGTGAACTGGCTGTTCATGACGTGAGAAAGTAGTCACCAGGCCTGTCCATCTTCAGCAAACAGAGAGCAGTTACTAAAACCCCAGGGCACCCACTGAAAACCACTAGGACACCCACTAGAGCTCAGGCACCTGGGATGTGGAATGTGGGAACCGGATGAATTAAGAAAGAGGGGGGAAACTCTTAGATGACCCTCAGGAAAGGTTGTTAACCCCATCGTATTCAGCCAGTGAGTAACTGGGGGAGGGGGTTTGTGAGCTAGAGTATAAAATACTTTCAGAGGAGCTATGAAGCACACCCCACTCCCCCCAGTCATTTTGCCCAATTTGTCTCAGAGCTCGGGCACATGATTTTGCAAAATTGAATAATAAAGCCCTTTCTCTTGCTAAAATGAGCACAGATTAGATTTCATGGGCGTTTGTCCATTAAAATCCCGTGATAGCCTACTGGTAAACTCATGAAATAAGGCTGTCCACCCCAGTTCTCATGCAAGAGACCCATTTGGGTATGGTCCAGACAAGGAGTTTATAATGGTCTGCCAGTTACCAAGAGGAGCCAATACTGTATCCAGGATTTCGACAACATTTATCACAAAGAGAGCAGGGAATTGGACCGTACTCTCTCCGATCTTACCCCTTGTTCTTTCAGCGGCACCCAAACTGGCAGATCCTGCCCATTCTTTAACCTCGAAGTGCCCACCTTCCCTTCTCTGTCAAGCATGTCTGGGTGACTTTGATTACACCGATACTCCTTCCTTCTCATGCCAGAGCACAGAAATAGATTGAGCCTGTAAGCATCTCATATCGTGAGGCCCACATTCCATGCTTCTCTCCTAAAATTTATCAGGAGCAGGATTGGTTAGGGAGACAAGCATGAAGTTTATTGGAACTTTCTAAGCCCACGGCTACCAAGCCTCAGCAAATACCAGAACTGGTTCTATCAGAGGGGATGCTCATCCTTCTATTATGTGGTTCATGATGCTGAGCTGGTCCATGGGAGAAATACGAGGCCTTTTACTCGCACCAAGAGTTACAGCCTTGGAAACCTACAGGGGCGTTTCCAGCCTGTCTTAAAGGGTCCCTATAAGTCAGCAGTGACTTGATGGCAGTGAGATTTTGAGTTTGAGAACGGTAGACAGTTCAAACTGAGCCAGTGACCCCCAGAAAAGAGGCCCGGTGATGGGATTTAGTGGAGATGACAGCCAAGGACAGCCGTGGGCAGCAGCCTCTGCCACACGGAGGGTCGCGGTGCGTGAGTTGGCATTGACGGGCCAGCAGTGTTTTTGGTTTCAGTTTCGGGTAAACCAGGATGGAAGGGGAAAGCAGAAATGCATGTTCAAGAGCATTCCAGCCTCAGAGAGGACAGACTACAATTCAGTGCCCTTGCAGAGGGGCCTCCTGCTCAGATGACAGGGACTGAGTTCCCTAGGACACTCACTGACTTTGGAAATGCTATAAAGGGAAGGAGAAACTGTGCAAAACCGGAGAGGGAATCACTTGAAGGAGGGGTGATTCTTAAATGGCAGGCAGCAAGTTGCACCTCAGGCAAACGTGGTACAGGAGCTACAGGAAGACGACTGCGAACAATGGCAAAGGAGAGTTATCCTTTTATTAGGTCAGTTTGGAATGTCACAATAAATAAATAATAAATAAATAGAAACCATGCTCAACCACTTTATCAAAAGCACATTTTCTGACTTAAAAATAGCACCTTCCCCGCCAATCCAGTCTGTGGTATCTCGTGAGGCTCCCTGAGGGTGAGCAGTAAGCAGTTTGTTCTTCATCCTTTTCGGTGCCTCTCTGTGGGTTTTTTCACTCGGTCACTAAGCAGCAGCCTGAGGTTCTGACAACGCCTCCTCCTTAGCCCCATATCCAGAGTCGACCTGGTGGCAGTCCTGCGGCATCTGCCCTTCCTCTTGAATCATAAGCCCCTTGAACTATCCCAGGCGACTTTGCACACCTTCTCCTGCCTCATACCAGTGGGAGGGGTGACTGCCAGCAAGGCTGAAGCTTAATTCCAACTTCACACATTCCAGGTCTTCTCTCAGTTCAGGCCCAAAGGATACACTTGCTCAGAAGTAGCTTTCCTGAGACATCCCGAGACATGATGGGGCAGGGAAGTCTTCCTGGATGTTGGAAACAGCATCTCCTCCAAGCGCCCCTCAGTGTCTCTATTTCCACATCTCTTATGCCCCATCCATCGCAAATATATGCTTGTACTCACGTCAGCACACAGTGCGCACACTGGCAGGCATAAAACCAGTGCACTCAAAGCCTGGCTGGATAAAGTGGTCAGGATAAATAACATGAAAATTCACTTTTTTTTTGCATAGTAGGGCCAGTAGGCCTCCTGGATCAGGTCTCGAAAACATTGGATGCATCTTTGCATACAGATGTTAAGGAACAATTATAAAATAATAAATACATAAATTACTTATATGTATAAAAGAGCATGAAGGTCAGTGGCAACCTGAGAGCTGGCCAATCTATAAATAAATTAGCTGTTTGTTTCAATCAGCACTTTGCCTTTAAATATAAAAATATACCAAAGATATTATTATACGCTTCTAAAAAAAATAAAGAAAATCAGAAAAAATAGAATTTTTGGGGCTATGACATCATAAAAAAACCACTGTGCCGGGAAGCTTCCACGTTTCTTCCAGGAATTAGAACCTGAAAGAGAATGGTAAAATATAGGTGAGAAACACAGCACCAAGCCCTTCTTATGTCATAAAAGCTTCCCCTGGGCAGTTGGTAGGTTAGGGATCCCATGTCGAAGGGCCCAGCCCCTCCTTCTGGGGCCGAATACCATGCTCCTCCCTAGAGGCTCACCTGAGCGGTTTCTTAAGACAGTATCTGATCATGCTACTTCTTTGCTTCAAGGCAATCATGGCTCCCCAGTGCCCCTATCAGATGACTTGAATTCCTGAAACTAGCTTGCAGGCCCCCCATTCTCTGATCCCTGCCCCCCTCACTCTTCTGCCTGTGCTTTCCCCTGTAGGGACTCTGGTGGCACAAGCAGTTCAGCACCCAGATGCCAACCAAAAGGTTGGCAGTTTGAAATCCCCTACTGGCTCTGGGGGAGAAAGCCGTGACAATCTGCGGCTGTAAAGATTACAGCCGGGAAAACCCAATGGGGCCATTCTGCTCTGTCACCTGGGCGCACTGTGAGCCAGAATAGACTCCGAGGCAGCTAGGAAGAAATTGCCTGCTGCTACTGCTGCGTCGCTGGCTCAGCACAGTGCCTGGCCCAATATGGGTGTCAAATAAAGCCTGTTAATGAACAAATGCGTGTTTCAGACTCTGGCCACTGTGTGCTGGGAACGCCATTTGCCCACTGCCCATCTGCAGCCCCCGCACCCCCTCCCTCCTTGCCCTGTGGCCAGGTACACTAAGTCTGCAAGCCTGAGGTGCTCACCTAACTGCAGGACACAGATGCCCAATTACTCCACAAGGAGCTGTAGTAGCGGTCCCGGGCTTGCACTCGGACCGTGGAGTCTTTATGGCAGGTAACCTTGCCCGAGGTCTTGTCCACGCAGGCTTTGTCTTTCTGTAAAGGGCAGTGCAATCTGTGAGTGCCCTGCGCCAACGCAGTCGTAAGGCAGGCAGCCTGTATTTCTGCAAAGGACAGCTTCCCGAAACAATCACACCCAGATCTTCGGACGCCACATTTGCAAGTCACTGGGGAGGGTGTAGACCTTCTGCCACCTACTGGCAGAAGCTCTCAACACAGCTTCTACTTTGTTACTTTCTGTTTTGCACCTGGGTGGTACCAACAGACAGGCATCTGGGTGGCACAGGGGTGAAAGCACTTGGCTGCTACCTGAAAGGCCAGCAGTTTCAATCCCTCATCTTCCATTTTCACCTAATGCTGTTTTTCGCATAATGGCCTGGCTTCTGGCCGTAACCATGTACATATGTGAGAAAGGAGTGTATGTACTTGTGACTTCAGGGAAATGTTTTAGGTTCCTGGTGTCTCAGCTTCCTTATTTATAAAATAGGGATAATAATAAAAAGACAGCCTCGCAGAGTTGTGAAAATAAAAGGTGACCCTAATAGTAAAATCTTTACCTTGTAAAAGCACTCAGCAAATATTACCTATCAAGGTTAGGTGATACAAAGAGGGAAGATAGTCATCAAGGTTTTGAAACCAGGTTTAGGTAAAATCCCCTAACCTGCTGAAATTTTCAGGGGTGACTGACCCACTCCAGGGCAGTTTTGGCTCAAGGATAAATCCTTGCCTGGGTGCAGGAAACCTGGGTTTGATCCCCAGCCCAGGCACCTCACCCACAGGCAGCTTCCTTTCCTCAGTGGGGGCTGTGTGTTGCGATGATGCTCAACAGGTTTTAGTGATGGTGTCAGATTAGGATGGACTAGGAAGCAAGGCCTGGTGATCTACTTCCAAAAAAACTAGCCAATGAAAACATAATGGATTACAATGTTCTGATAGCCTTGTGCGTGGGATCATCATGAGTGCAGGGCCAACTCCACAACAGCTGTCTGACATGGCAAAAGCTTTCTGCCGCATGCCAATGATTTGCTGCCTAAGGTCTCTTGCAGTGGTTTTACAAGTGGGGTCCCAGGAGCTCTAGGGCTCTGTCAAAGTTGCCTTTGGCCCTTTGCGGAGTTCTCAAGCCAAGAGAAGAAAGCTTGAAGCTCTCAGCCTATGTCAGTGCCCACACTTTGGTTAAGAAAATAAGCTAACATCTGGAGCAGGTGAGAGTTACCTATTTTCAGTCAAGACACAGAATGAATGTTCTATTATCAATGATATCCACTGAGTCCCAATTCTGCATGCATCAGCGATCCTGGAGGCAACAGAGTGACTGGGTGACAGGGCTTCATGTCTTGTGGACTGAGTTTGGTCCTGGCTCTGCCACTTGCTAGCTGAATGACCTTGGATAAGTCACAGCCTCTCTAGGCTTCAATGCCTTTCCGTATGAAGCAGTGATGAGGATTAAGTGGGATAATACAAGGGGACCCCTTTCCACTATTCCAGGCCCATAGAATGTGCTAAGAAAAGTTGTTTTTATTGTCAATCATCTGCTCTGACCTGCTTCAATCTGACCACAGAACATATCACACACGAATCACGCCTTACCCTTTCTCTCTTGTTCTTGCTCTGTACCTGGACACAGAATGTCAGGGAGAAGTAGGAATGTGGGGTGCTCCAGGTGTTGGGGTACTCCCAGCTGACCTCCACTTGCCGAGAATTGGCTAGTGGCTTCACCTGCAGGTTCTTGGGTGGGTCAGGTTTGACTGTGGAAGAAGAGAACTCCGTCAAACTCACTGTCATTGAGTCAATTCCAACTCCTAGCGACCCTATAGGAGAGGGTAGAACAGCCCCCGGTGGGTCTCTGAGGCTGCGAATCTTTATGGGAGCAGAAAACCTCATCTTTTCCCCATGGAGCAGCTGGTGGGTTTGAACTGCTCATCTTGTGGTTAACAGAGCCATGCATAACCCACTACGCCACCAGGGCTCCTGAAGACAGAGATTTCTCCTGATGGGGCTCTGGGGCTTCTGCTTCTCCTTTCATCTTTTACCTGCTGTGGGGCTGTAGGATAGTTACTTAACTTCTCTGAGCACCATTTTCATCTGGAAAATTGATTTCATGCTGGCTTCCACCTCATAAGTGGTTGTAAGGATAAAATGAACTTCACCACGTAAAGTCCTTACACGAGATAACTACCACTCTCCTTTCTAAAACTCCAGCACTTTAAGGATCCGCAGGGCTTCACTTGTCATCTTTGGGACTTGGACTGGAGCACAATACCCTCTTTCCCTCCCAGCCAGCCTGCCTCACTCTCTCGTTTATGATCTACTATCGCCACAGCTGCTCCCCCCTTCCCCCCTCCCCCCCAGCATCTGCCAGGCAGTGAGGGCATCCTGCTCACCTTCTGGAGTCTGGGACCAACATGGGGCCACAGCGCACAAGGTACCTAGCTGCTGAACGGCCGGGACCATAGTATCTCTTGGCAAATGGAATAAACCAGCTGGCAGACATGAGATGCTTGGACTGCCGGTGCCCATGGAGAGCAGCCCTTGGCAATCACCACAGTCTTAATTGAACTCTTGCGAGGCTCTGAAGTCTTCTCATCCCTGCACTCTGGGGGCCACTTCCCTCATGACCTCTGCCTGTGCTCAGAAGATTCTGAGAGCAAGATGCTCACCTCCGGGTAACGCCCCGAGAGCCCCCTTTTGCACCAAGCATGGGGAGTTGCTGAGCCTCTCACAGAGCATGAGGGGAGAGCCTTCTAGGCAAGTAGGTGTCCCCAAGACTTGGTCCTAATCAGGCTTACCTTTTACTAGAGGGAGAGACATGCTATAGCAGGGCCCATTAGACTCCATATGGAGATCATGACACCTTGTAGTTGCTCTGCGAGTCTCCTCCCTTTTCTGAGCACAACCTCTATAGGTCTCAGCTGAACATCCCGTCCTCTTGGCCACACCAGGTGAAGTAGATCCCACCCTTCTCCACCCACCAAGGGCAAACCCTCCACAAGGACTCAGGCTTGAGCAGGGTCGGTAGCTCTCATTTCATGTAGCTGGCTCCAGGAATGAATGATAAAGAGAAGGATAAATGACCAAGATCTCCACTTGCCAAATGAAAAAAAGATGTCCAATCTAAGAGTTTATATTCGCAAACAAATTATCTCTCTCTCTCTCTCTTTTAAAATGCGTGAGAGAGAGAGAGAGAGAGAGAGAGAGAGAATAGTGGCCACCAGGAGGGATGTGCCTGTCCTTGGTTTGGTATATAAACGTTATGTTGGATCCATCAGAGGAGCGGCCTCGGGGCAGCGGAAGAGACAGGGTCACAAAGAGCCCTCCCTTCGCAATGGCAAGGTCTGGGTCTGTTACCCCGAGGCCTGGGGCCAGTTGCTTATCTAAGACTCAATTTCTCACCCTTTAGAATATAGATCATAGTATCTCCATTGTCTTCCCCACCTTGGTGCAGAATGAAAGAGGTAAGGCTAGTAGCCCATTAGCCCAATGCCTGGGCATGGTGAATGTGTGACTAATAGAGTCTGTGTTCCTAAGTGCAAAACCCCAGGCAAACTCACTGATGTCTCTGATGAAGAAGCTGCTGGTGTATCTTTCATACTTGAGCTTGTGAATGGCTTCCACCACCACGTCAATAGGCAGGCTCTCCTCGGCGGCTGGGCAGGCGCTGACCTCCTGACACTGTACTGTGTACTTCTTATACTCCCTGTGGTCCACTCTGACCTTCTCTTCAGACAGTGCCACCTCCCCACAGGTCACACCTTGGGGGTCAGAAGAGCTGAAATCAAATCAAATATCCCGTGTTACCCATTTGGGATGGAGCTGCTCACCAGGGGGTTCCAGTCCATGCAGAGGATCTTCGACAGAAAGGCCTGGTGACTACTCTTGAAAAATCAGTCCCTGAAGGCCCTACAGAGCACACTTCTACTCCGACGACGCGTGGGCTTGCCCTGAGTCGGCGTCTATTGGACGGCTATCCGTTTGTGGATGAGTTCCTACTGATTGCAGCCAGTGAGGCAGGGAAGCCGGCTGTCTGAGGACTCACCTTCTCCAGCGAGTGTGATTTCTCCCAGGGCTGGCAAACTGTCCTCCCCATGAGAACATGCTGAGTGTCAGGGTCCTGGCACAGATATCTGGAAGCAACTCTGCGTGCATATGCTTTTGGCCTAAATGAATCTGGAAATTTTTAGATCTAGAGCCCCTGGTCAACACGTTTTATTAAAAATTTAAATTCATGTGTCTTATTTTACTTTGGAAAAAATCAATGCATACTAATTATTCAAATTAAAATGATAAGGATGCATACGAATGTGTGTGTGTGTGCCTCCTTCTTCCATCTTTTATCCCTAAGCTCCCCCCCAAGATAAAAATACGAATCCTAGCTTGCTGGAGCTTCCCAGAACTTTTCCAGTAAATATGCAAAGTAATCATATATTCATGTCTATAAAATCCTATATACAGATGTTTTATATACTACACCTATATCCTTCTCTATATCTACTTAGGTGTATATATTTTTTATGAAGTGGGCTCAAATGATATACATTGCTTTGTAACCAACATGTCCCTCTCTGAACATAGTATGGGGAGCTCTCCACATCAAAACATACAAACTCAAACCAACATCAAGGTCGTTGACTTGATTCTGACTTATAAAAAATATAGGTTGGCCTATTAATTTTAATAACTACACAGTGCATTATGTACCACCCTGTATTGAACCATTCCCCTGCTGATGACCCTAAACGCTACAATGGACACTTGCACCTGTGTCTCTGTGCACTTCGTGTAGGCATTTTTTAAAGTCAGTGTGATCATTTAAACCTGTGCAAAAATGAGACCTCAAAGGTTAATTTAGGTAGCACCACTAGTGCAAGTGGTTTGCATTGGCTGCTGACCAATTAGAGAGTTTTCACCCACCTGCACAGGTGGGATCTGCTTCTATAAAGAGTACATCTAAGAAAATCCTATGGGGCAGCACAATTGTCATCCATGAGCTGGTCACTAGTAGCTAATACCACTACTACCACCACCGAGGTTAATTTACCCAGCGAAATCGTGTTGGAGCCAGGCTGAGTGGCTAGGGTTGGCTCTAGTATCCCACATGGTTTCAGGGAGTCACAAAGATGGGCAAAAACATCGGTTCTGTTTCCATGGAAACAGGTTTCTTAGGGACAATGCAAGTGTGTCGGATAGTGAACGCTTCTGCTCCATTAGTTTCCCATGGGTGCTATTAGCAGAAGAGAAAGAAGCTGAGGTGACCAGGGGAAAATGTCTAGTGGGATCACATCCTTTTGGAGTCAACTTAAGAATCCTACGGTCTATACCCTATTTTTGACTCAAGGTGCCATTCTGGCAAGTCATTTGCATTTTCTATTTCTCTTTTTGTCCCTCCCTATGGTGCTATGAGCCTTAATGAAGCATTTCTAGGCAAGTTGGATGAGAGTGGCTTCAAACACAACCTAGGCTAGCCTCAGACCTTGATAATATCCTGTCCAAACATGTGCATTTGTTCAAGCAATTGGCTTAAATATCCATGCCTTTTCCTCAATCTAGAGCAACAGAGGGGCTGGAAAAGCTTGGAATTGAGTTTGAGTTTGTCCACCCTTATTTTCGGAATGAAACAGTTCTAACAAAATGCTGGGAAGCCACATGGGTTGCACTTACCCTCTGCTGCCCTTGACGCTGAATTTCAAATCGGCACTGATTGCTGTCTGCCACCAACAGGTGAAATGGCCAGAATAATTTTTTGCCTCGCATTTTAGAAAGGTCTTATTTTTGGGTTCTGGATTGGAAGAAGAATAAAGATTGTGAAGTTCTTCCATATATTTTTTTGAAAAATGAGACAGCTCTCCTGACAGTTGGTCCCAATAGGATGCTGAGTCAATCGGGTATAATAGACATCGAACACATCTGAGAGAAATAGTTTTAATTTTCCCCTCCCTCCAAGGCTATCACCTCAGTGTTGATATAAGGCACTATGCGTATTCATTCATTTCCACCAGCCATGCAATAATAAAACCCCCAAACTAAACACACTGCCATCAAACGGATTCTGAATCATAGCAACCCGATAGGACAGAGTAGAACTGCCCTGGTGGGCTTCCAGACAACTTCACCAGTGGCTGGTGGGTCTGAACTGCTGAGCGGTGAGTAGCAGCCTAAAGTGTAACCCACATACTTCACCACCAGGGCTGCCTATGCAAGCATATTCTCACTGCCCTTGAGTTGATTCTGACTCATAGAGACCCTACAGGACAAGGAAAACTGCCTGTGTCGCTTTTGAGATTGTAACTTTCTATGGGAGTAGTAAACTTCATCTTTGTCTTGGGAGTAGCTGGTGGTTTTGAACTGCTGACCCTGGGGCTAGCGGGCCAATGCGCAACCACAACAGAGCATCTCAGGGAAAGCACTCAGCCTGAACACAAATCTCTCCCATAACAAGAGTTTGATGGTTGATAAATGCAATCCTATCTAAGACAGCAAAGGACACTGGAGATTCTGGGTGGTCTCAGTAAGGGAGTAGATGCTAATTCACTAACTATACTCACTGCATTTTGCCTTTCTTTGACTTTTATTTTGTATCGCTTATGAACTTATGAAGAGAACACTAGCAATATCCAAGAGGATGGGATTACCTTTCTGGTCCTTTAAAATATCAGTGGACCAAACCCCATCTTCCTTTTTGTGAAGCAGCAAGAGCGAATGGCTCAGAACCTCATCTCCTTTCTGACAGGTATATCGGCCAGCATGTTCAAACTCTTTGACGTGGATTGTCAGGGTTTTGCCGGAGCCTAAAATCTCACTGCTCTGGTCGGAGGTCCAGGTGATTCCGTCTTCTTCTACAGTGTCACATGTGAGGACGACCATTTCTCCAGGAGCGTCAGGGTACCAGTCCAACTCTACAACATAAACTGAAGGATGGGGGGAAGAGGACTAGGTTATAAGCTCTATGAACTCTGGACTGTGTTCTCTAAACCATGGCGGCATCTCCACTGCCTAAGCATAGATTTGCTCATAACTAATGTTTGGCAAATGCTTGCTGAGATGGCCTCTGGGCAGTGGGCCCCATTTGAGCTCAAGGTCTAGAAACCCTGAAGCAGAAAGACCATAGCTGTCTTGGCAGCTCACTAACTAGAAGATCGCCCTCACTAATTAACCTTTGATTTGTTGGCAGATAGAGAAGACCTGGACACACTGAAAAATGGAAACAGCACTGAAGTCTTTGGCAAAGGTGTAGTGGAGATGAGAAACTTCCAGCACACCTGATGCCCAAGATGTGAATGCGACATACTGGCATGAAGCAGGGAACCAATGAGAGGCCTGAGGGGCCAGCCACAATCCCAACTATGTGGAGAGCCCCTATCCCCCCAGAAGAATTCACTTCAGAGGACAGCACTGAAGCTCAGGGAGAGGGACATGTCTGATCAGAGCACACAGGAGCAAATGAAGGGAGAAGAAGAGAGAGTGGAGCACATCCTGGCCCACCAAGCCCTGAGGACGATAATCCCTCTCAGAGCAGCCAAAGCAGAGAGGACCATAGGGCCGGCCCCACTACCAGACACGACGTCCCTCACTGACCCATAGCGCTATGGGGACCACGGTGGAGACATAGTGTGGGAATTGTGCCCCCACCACACTGACGAGGCGAACACTAAGGGTGTGCAACAGAACAGCAAGGGGAATAGAGCAACGAAGTCCCCAGGAAATCCCCAAAATGGACTCTGGGGCCAGGGCGTGGTGCCCCATCAGACTCAATGGGAAACACTCGTAAAGGTCAACAAACAGACCTTGAACTATTTACAGGCGTTTCTTTTTTGGTTGCTGTTGTTTTGTTTTCTTTGTTGGTTTGTTTTGCTGTCTTGTTTTTTGTGCATATTCTTATCTCTGCAGGTCTATCTAGATAAGATAGGCAGGATAAACAATGTGCAGGAGAAAACAACTGGACCTATGGCTCCCTGGGGGGACATGGGAGGGGGGGAGTAGGGTGGGGTGGAGGGGAAGGAAGTGGGTGTTAACAACCGCAGGGACAAGGAAATAAGTGATCCACAATTGATGGGTTCATGAGGGAAGAAGGGAAAAAAATGAGGAGCTGATATCAAGGGCTCAAGTGAAAAGAAAATGTTTTGAGAATGATGATGGCAACAAATGTACGAATGTGCTTGATGCAATGGATGGATGTATGGATTGTGATAAGAGTTGTGTGAGCTTCCAATAAAATGATTAGCCAAACACACAGAAAGAAACTTCCAGCACAATTTCAGTTTCACAACATGGGGAACTGTATGAAAGGCTGGTAGCCTTAGGAAGGTTGAGAGAGAACCACTGGTCTACAGAAACACAAGAACCAAACAATGGCGATATCCTCAAGAGGTAAAAGTGGAAAATATTAGTCCCAGGGTGCCGGCTCCCACTAGTAAAGATCCAGTGAGGGGGTGTGGGTGTTGCCCATCCAGTCTGACATCCCATCAGGAGCTGCCTTAGGGTCCAGAATTAGAATCCTGTCACTTCCAAGAGGGTAAAGAGAAGCTGGTTACCATCTTTCTCCAGTTCCCATATGGCCATGAGGGGCGATGCCAGCAAAACCACGGCAAACCAGGAGATGACCAACCGCTGCTGCTGCATCTGTGGAAGAGGGAGAACACAAGGAAGTGGGAGGGAGAGGAGATGTTGAGAGCAGGAAGAAGGAAGGAAGGGAGAAGACAGTCAGTATTATTCAGTTATGTTTGGGAGGCACACGTACATGCGTTCTATGCACATTGCATTTCAGCCTTAGTTTCCCCTTGCTTCTCTGCAATGTCAGGTTAATATTAAGTGTGTTACAAGAACCCTCTACACC